TCTTTTTTCACGTTATTTTTGTTTTCCATGTTTCTATAAATCTTAGGTTGGATTATGAATCCCGCACCAAAATTAAGAAATTTACAAGTTGAGCAGTCGTGGGTAATTCTATTTCTAAAGAATTGGTGTGATTCAACGCAGCTTAGAACGAAAGCATTTTGTTCAGCGCTTGAAGCAATTTTGGCATATCACGATACAAGCAGACTGAGAGAAACACTCAGCTGCAATGCTTTTGATTCTTAGTTTTCAATTTCTAGAAGGTGCAAAAGAATAGAAATTTGTCTTTAATCATAATTTTACGTCTCATTTGAGAATCCGGAAAATTTGTGGTGAGTGGATGTTTCTATTAATAGTTATAGTTTTCTGTTTTTCAACTCGACATTTCGACGTTTGTTGCAACAGAATTTCTATTTTGCATAGTCACATAGAGCGCTTGTTGTAGGTTTCAAAAAAAGAGAGATATAATTTGAGACATTGTTTGAGATATTTTAGGTGAATTAGCAATTTTTGGTGCAAGTCTCGTAGGCCAACCTTATGATAAAATTCCTCTTCGACCGAGCAATATTTCTAAATTACCATTTTTCGTGTCTACTGAAGTATTCTTTGGAAAATCTGTAGCTTATTCGTATCCGCACACTTTATTGGCCCATTTGTCCGCTCACTTTGAGGTCCCAATGCGACAGTTTGTAAGCAGCAAAAAGAAGACTATTCGGTCTTCCAGAACATTGTAGTGTTGAGAATGATTTTTCGTTTTGCCGACCATTTACGCCGAAACCCCCGCCGAACCAAACCGCCGAATTTTGAAATTGTGCTCGAAGTGTTGATTGTGCGCAGAAACATCTAAGATGACTTTGAATCAGCTAATAAATCTTGCTATAGGTCCTGGTTGAATATGCATATGTTAACGTTCGCTGACTGCTGGCGCCATCAAGTTGCCTCCTCAGCAGTTTTTATGAATAATTACCGCATGCAGACTAGATCCATTTATAGCTGTGCAAGCACGACCTTATTTCATCTATCAAGACTGCGGAGAAAATAGGGAAACGTTGATGGGATTGTTAAAAAAGCGAGCGTTTTATAAAGTTAGAAGTAGGTCCATTCGTACTGAGTCACTTTTGACTACTTAATGGGTAACTGGCAATTTTGAGCAAAGCCTTTGTTTATTGACATTTTAATTGTTGAATATTTAAGTTCATTATTCCATCGAAGTTGCCGAAAGGCGTAGTACGAAGCGGTCAGTA